TGTCTGTGATTCATAGGCATGTACTACCCATGCAGGCCAGAAGGCACTGGATGCTGTGTAGTTAGACAGGTTTGCTCTATCATGTGGGTGCAGGGAATCAAACCTGGATCCTCTGGAAGAGCAACTGTGCTCTTAACTACTGAGCCATCTCTCCCAACACTTCCTTTGCAACAGTGAAATGACATTAGCCACTGTTCAATATCTTTACAACTGATTGACCTTTGGGGGGAACACTTAAAACATTGAGATGACCAAAGCCACAGCAAGAAAAAAATGGTCAGGTACAAGGTGTGCACTTGATATCTCACTATTTGGAAAGGAAGACTTCAAGTTCAAGGGTAGCCTGGGCTACACTTTAAGAAGCTCAACAAGGAAAGGGAAGAAGGAGCAACAGTAAAGAAAGGTCACTAAGTAACTGTGATTTTCAATTCTTATTTTCAAAATTCTACAGAATCTAGATTCACCTAGGAGACAAACCTCTAGGCCAGTGGTTCTCAACTTCCCTAATGCTGTGACCCTTTAATACAGTTGTCATGCAGTGGTATGGTTACCACCAACCTAAAGTTATTTTGTTGCTAATTCATAACTGTAATTGTGCCACTGTTATGAATCGTAGTGTAAATATATGATATGCAGGATATATGCTGTGTGAACTCACAAAGGGGTTGCAACCCACAGGTTGAGAACCGCTGTGCCAGGAGTCTGTGTAATGGCGTCTCTAGAGTGAGTTAACGTGAGTGGCATCATCCCACTGGCTTGGGTTCTGGGCTGAATGAAAAGGAGAACACAGCTGCTCATCTGTATCTATTTCTCTGCTTCCAGTCTGGATACAATATGACTGGAGCTTCATGTTCCTTGGGCCACACTTTCCTCATGGTGATAGACTGGGTCCTCAAACTGTGAGCCCAAATAAACCTTTCCCTCACTTAAAGTATGCTTGACAAGTAACTATAGTGATAAGCCTAGTGAATCTTAGAGTCAGGACAAAGAGTGTGTGGTCTCAGAAGGAACCAGGATACTGGCAGTCTGGAATGGATCAGAGCCATCACTCAGTCAGTTGTGAGTGTTACTGCCTCAGAGAGAGGATCTTTTGTTCCAGGATGCTTTTATAAGAAATGTACCTGAGGGAAACACTGGGGAAACTGCCTTATTGCCTTATTATTGCCTTTCTAGGCTCTAGGGAGCTGAGTCTGTGCCACTGAGCAAACCTACCCTTACTGGGTTCTCTGGAACTTAACATGCCTTTCAGACACTCCTGCTCCACTGCATTTCCAACCAGACGCCACTCCTCAGAAAGTGCAACAGTTGAGTTCCCCTCCATCAAAACAAGTCAGGGGAGTTTTGAGGAATTGGAACTCTTGCATATTGGGTCATGAATGGTGAATTTGAACGTAGAGAACAAGAACTAATTGGCACCCACCCACTGGTGTGTTCTACAGAAATTCTACCTGCTTTATAGCTTGTTCTTGGAACAGAGCAATTTAAGAATATGTAATCTTTCTAGGAGTGCCAAAATCTAAGTTGTTGCTGGAGCTCTAAATATCTACTGGGTAAGGAGACCCAGTGGACCATAAAATGGTGGAGGAAAGAATTTCCAATAAATAAATAAACGTGTGGAAGTTTGGGAAGGTTGAACCCACCGTTGTGTGTACTGCCCCCTATATAGGATTTTGGTAAACTGTGGAAGGCAATACACATTTTCCACTCCAGTGAAAAAGTTTTTAAACTGAAAGGCATTCTGGTAGAGCAGACTTAAACCTATTGTGAAGGTACCATTTAATGGTTATAATATACCTTAATGACTAATACATTGTGGTATTCAATATTGCATTATGTCCTTCTAATTTTATGCTTACTGTTTTAAAAGATGAGGTGCCACTGCACTGCGTAGGCTGGCCCCTAACTTTTGAATATACACCATTCTCCCTTTTCAGCCTCAGAAGTACCTGGGACTACAGGCCTGTTCTACCATATCCAACTACAGCCATTCAATTGGTGAGAATGATGGAGTTTCTACACTCAACTACAGCCATGTGATAGGAGAGGATGCTAGAGCACAGAAAGTTTATTTAAGTGGCTTAGGATCACACAGCAAATAGGCAGCAGTTCCAGGACTTAAACTGAGTCAATCTAGCTTAAAGAAAGCGGCAATGATGTACAAGGGCACTCCAAGCAAGGAAAGACTTCTTTAGTGAAGGGCCAGCTTGTTGCTGTCTTTTTGACAGATGTGAAGAAGATTAAGGATCAAAGTATAAATAATTCTTTGAAAAGTCTTCACTCTCATGCAGAGTCACACAGGCACAGGCTTGGGAAAACCATTTTATCCAAGCAACACTTAAATAGTGCATTCTATATGGCAGCCAGTGAGTGGTCTTAGCAATTTGTCAGATGCCTTTAACCCTACAAGGTTAGGCATATCCTTGTCCCCATTTTCCCAGAAAATGTACCTAGAATCTTCACTGGCTGAGCCAGTTAGCAATCACTGAAGTACTCTGAACTTCCATTTTTTCATTTGTAAAACTGGAATACTAATACTTCATACAGATATATATTTTAGCTATGGGTTAAATGTTTTGTGTCTAACATGTTAGATACTTGTAGAAAACG